CAACTTAATTGCTCAACAAGAGGACCAGTGGCACCCCCAAGGGGTTTGCCAGGGATGGCCATGGCCACCCCTAAAATATTGCTGGCCACCCCTAGCCTGGCAAGCCAGACTAAATAAATGTATTATTTAATCTGGCCATGCTCCATTGACGGCTCTCGGTTGTGGGGCGGGTTCTACCGTTGTCTTTCAAATGATCTCCGCATTCCACTGGACAATGAATGTGACATCCTCTTGTTTCACTCTGTTGCATCATCCCACCCACCAGGCATATAGAGTGCCCTGATTGGCCCACAAAGCGGATAAAGCTCTGTGATTTGTTCACTAAGCAGATAGAGCACTATGATTGGCCCACCATTATGGACCAATCACAGTTCTTTATGTGTTTGAAACCCCTCTAGAGAGCTGTGATTGGTCAGCCAGAGTCCTGGTAGGAGCTGCGGAGGTTCCAATGGAGCATGCCTAGACCAAACTTTGCAAAGCAAGAATTTGGTCTAGTTCACTAGGCTAGGCCACCCCCAGGGAAGACCAGTGTTCTTTAACTCATTCACTGCCACCCGTTTTCTGATCACAAGGCCCCTGACTGCCAGTGTTTTCGAGCGTTTTTACTGTTTTTTGAAGAGTCACAGGCCCATTGTCGAATTATGAGCTGCAGAAGCTTTTCTGGTGAGTGCCTCGCTTTTTTGGAGTGTCCCAAAACAATCTCCTAATTCATGGATTTTCTGCTTCCTGATCATGTGACGTGTGACACACACAGATGAAGATAAGCTTTAGAGATGTGATGTTTATTCCCACGGTTCGAGGGCTCATTCTCACGCCCGCCCCGTTAGCTGTAATTCTAGCGGTTAGCATTTTCAGTTTGCCCATTGTCAATAAAAGTCACAGAAAGAAAAAAAATTAGCTTTTTCTGTTGGCATCATGGCGGAACCTGGACGCAAAAGAGAGTATTGTCTTTGGAGGAGAAGCAAAAAGCTAAAACCAGAGTGAAGATCAGCACAGCCTACGCTAGTTTGAAGGAGCTAAAGGAGGCTACAAAATCGCGGACTGTTGGTGACCTGGCTTTGTTGCCATTGGATTTGTAAGTAATAATATTTTTTGTCCAACAGTGCGGATCTTTTTACTTTGTGGTTTATTTTAGTATTAGTTGGCTAATGTTAATGTTAGCTCATGGTTAGCACTAGGTTAGCAAGAGCAGGCTGCAGCAGGACTGAGAAATAAAGATTAGCTCTGATCAACTAGTTGAACTGGGTCAACTATTTTTTTTAACATTTACATTGCTACAGATTTCAGATTATTTATGGCAAAAACATGTGTCCATACTTTTAACACATTGACCTGGAAGTGCTATAGATAGCTACAAATAATAAGCTCTGCTCCTAGTTTTCACCTGTCGCTAAAAATAAAATTCTGTGCAAATGTAAAAATAATAAAAGCGTTGTTTTAAAAAGTGACAATAACTACCACCATAACTCAGAGTTTAGGGTTTGTTTTTAAAACTGTGGTAATCCAGTTACTCATACTAGCTGTTAGCTTGTCAATCCTGTCAAAAATAGTTAAAATGACATTTTTAAAGAGTTTTCAGCTAGTAACATTTGAATTGTTTGTGACATTTATTTTAAATGGAGGGCTTTAAAGTAAAACTTAAACCCTTTTGTGATAGTTGTAATCCTGCGACGTAGACCCTCTCTTTTAACCACATTTCACACGTGGTCGACCATTCCATGTCCTGCAGCAATGAGTGCTTTCACACGAGAAACCAGCTGAAGTGACAGCCGCCCTGTCTGACTGAGTGGACACCACCCCCCACTTCACACACACATGCCTGACTATCTTTGTCACCAGCTCAGAGGTAAAACTGTGGTAAATCAACTTCAACGACTGCAGTTGAACCACAATATTCCCACACTAATAACTCAATCATTAAATGTTGTTTTTGTTTTCTTTTTATGAGTTGTGCACTAATTTTGCTTGTATATATATCCTCATTTTACACGTGATAGAAAAACAATTAGACCTCGAGGCACAGCTTCAAGCAGCTAGGCGACGAGCAGCTGCTGCAGTGGAATTGT